AGGAGATGGAGGTGCTGGCTTTCCAATCTGCAAAAAAAAAAAATATATTTTATCACTTACAAAAAATTATATTTGAACATCAACAGTTCCTCTGCACTCCCCTTCTCAAATACCCCTAGCTTTAATTTTTTTGTGCTTTTAAAGTTATTGTGCAGTATTCTACTCAGCAGAAAGGCCTCTTACTGATGAATGGAGACATTAGTTTTAATATCCACAATGTGCTGTATCATGGCCACACTCATAATCTTGGCAGAAGAGGTGATGACAGAGAAACATCTCAGAGAAATTGCCTCTCAACCAGCAAATCAGCTTAGAGTCACAGGGGAGCAATAGATCAAAGGAAATGCTGGTGCATCTCAATTATTATGATCAGTAAGTTAATCACCTTCAGTAATTGAGGCCAAAAGGAGATTTAATTTTTAGTAAAAATCATAAACTATAATATTACATAAGACTAATATAAACATGTTTTTGTTTTTTTTGATAAAGACATGTCATGGTGACGTTATGGTCAACACAATCACAGAGAAGACTGCTGACAATGCTCCAGTTGGATCTGAATTTTTTTGCAAAACAAGAAAATGTATCTTCTCACACACAGAACTGCACAGAAAAACACGAGGTGGTGCTAGAGCTCCGGTCCTTTTTCCTCTGGACAGAAAGTGCCCTACTGAAATACTTTTTTTTTTTCACAGTGTAGTGTGTGGCGTGTAATAAATCTCACGCTACTAAGGCAGCTGGCAATTTTATGTGTCACACAAGGTGCCTTTTTAATACTTAAGCACCTGCTGAATTGTACCTTCAGCCTCATGTCTCGAGTGTGTCTCTCCAGCTCCTTCCGTAATTCCTCCTTGCTCAGCTTGTCCACGTCCAGTATGGAGTGTTTCCACTCTATCTGCTCCACACTATGAGGGTCATGGGACACGTACTGGCCAATTTTAATCTTGCGCAGAGTGTGCCAGTAACCCCTGTAGGCTCCTTCAAATTCCTGAACCAAGTCCATGAGTGTTCGAAACTCCAGAGGCTTGAACATGAGGTCGTCCCTTCGGCTCATGCCCAGGGCGCCGAACCGCCCCCCGCTGTGAAGCCCGAGCACAATGTGGTAGAAGTGGTTCCCTGAGAAGTGAGATTTAAAGCTGAGTGGGAATCGCTCCACACCGGGCATGTTGTTGGTGAGATGGCTGCATCAGCATATGTCAAGGAACTCGATGTCTGGAATGTGGAGGCAGTGGCGGTTCTAGACCAGATTTACCAGCCGTGTTTTTTAAGGGGGCACAGAAGAAAAGAATGCATCTTCTGCTACCAAATTAAACTCTGATCCTATCTCAATTTGGCAGAAGCTAAAACTGCAAAGTCTTAATTTTTATTTTATTGTAAAAGTAAAACTTTAAAAGTAGGAAATCAAATTGATCCAAGGGATCGATTATTTTCGGTTTTTGTGGCAGTGCGTCATAAGAAATGATTTAATAATATGTTTTGTTCATCATTTTCAACAACTATTCTTGAATCAAAATCACAACAGCAAATACATTTAACACAATCTGAATAATGCAAGACGTTCAACAGCTTTAAAGATACATGGCAAGGATCACCGCCTCTAAACATTTAATCGGCAGAGCCTCTCTTGTCATCTCTTTAGCGATGTCCATCAGCCTGTGAAAAACAAATATAACAAAGAGAGTTGTGCATGTTATATTTATGTTTGCACAAAACATAAACACAAAATCTGCATGCAATAAGTGCAAAGACACTTTTGTTTTCACCAGCTCAACATTACTTCCATGAGTCAAGGAAATGGGATCTAAATCTAATAAAGTGAGGTCAGGAAGTGTGTTTCAGGCATCTGCTGACTGACATTAGCAGCTACTTGCAAAGCCCAGGGGGTATAGAAGAGACACAGCTAATCCAAATGCATCCCTGGCAGACCATCCCAGTTACCCTCCAAGGACAGAAATCTGTTTGTGTCTTGATTCCAAAGGAAGAGTAACTCACGCAGTGAGAGGACGGCTTTTCTTAATCTCAAAAAACTGTGTTCCTGTGTGATTGTACCTGTAAGATACAGTTAAGGTTGAACTGTTACATGGGCATTAAGAGCAGCACGAACAGAGAGGAGGGTACAGCTCTTTAGTGCTTTGTTATATTCATAGGCTGCAGATTAATAATGAATGACTCTGCACTAAGTGGAAATCATGGTTTTGGTACAGAGTGTAGATAGGACTATATTACTCAAAATCCCTCGTTTAATTTTACAAAATAACCCCCCAACTAACTAATTTAGCATTAAATGAAAGCAATCAAGTACTGTAAAGGCATGGGAGGATACTGTAGTTCCCTGATGTACTTCTGTATGGCTTCCAGCCGCTGTGGGATGGTAGTTGAAGGTTGGTATGAAGGCACACTTGGTACTGGAATCTGTACGGGGGGAGGGTCAAGCAACTGCATTACAACAACAATCACAATATTCACAGCAACTTAAGGCAGTTTAACTGGGTAAAATCATAAATATGAAAGAAAATTCAGAGAGCTTTAGAAGAAACTTGAAGGACAAAAAAAACTATTCAATTTCAGCATTACATAAGAAAAAACTGAAAAAAATTCAATGTAAAAGAAATAAATGACAGACACATAATAAAAAATGATTTCTTAAATAATATTTGACCTTAATGGGTCAAATATTAAGGTCTTGTCTCTTACTAAAGAGGCAAGATGCTACCTCTTCAGTGACACGAGACAAACAACACTGATCACAAGAGTTCATTTTTTATTATGTCTCTGCTAAATGATTTACACCTGACAAGCAGCATTGAAATGCTTTTAGGTCCAAGACCATTCAGTGCCTTATAGACAGATAAGATTTGAAAAACTGTTTAGAACTGGGGGAAGAGGGACTTCTTAAAGACAGGATGACAATGATTTCACTCAATGAAATTAAAAGCTGATTGTATTATCTCCGTGTTTTGTTAAAAAAACCCTCTTTATTCTGGAAATGTTTTGAAGATGAAAGGACTTCATTTAGATGCTAAAATTTAAGTCAGCGATGTTTTATGCATCCTTTGAGGATTTTACCCTCATTAAGTCAAAATGTATTGTATTGTATTTCTGTCCTTGCCTTTTCTGCCTTGAGTTTGAACAAATGTTGGTGTATTCACCCACTGACAGAATGAGCATAATGACTCAGTGATGGCATGAAACTGTGGTCTTTCTGTGGCACTGACACCAACCTGTGTATGATCAGCATCATTATGTTGTAAATATGCGATAACATGTGGTCTTCACTTTCTCACATTAATAATTGCCCATCGACACAAAGTAGTCAAAATTGCATTTTTAGAAAAGCAATTTTGTTTAGACTTTGCACTCCTCTGAATTTCATACAAAGCAGTATCTTGATTTCTCTCTCACTCCCATTTTAGTGAAGTGTGAAATAGTATGACAATGTCTGTGCTTTATGTATTTGAGCAATTACAATTGATGAAAGGACTTATATGTTTGTTTTTACCTTGGGCAGGTCAGTGGCACCCCTTATCTCCTTGGCCAGAACTTCACCACCTGGGTGGATTCTGGCCACATGGCGCCACATCCTCTCCCAAGTCTCCTCATCCATCGGGAGGCCTCCTCTGTTGACGTAGAAAGGCACCCCTCCATCCCTTAGCTCTTCTTCCCCTTCGTCCTCCTCATCCCTCTCCTCTGCGGAGCCCATGGTGGCCCTCAGCATCCCTCCTTCAGCAGGCAGCCACACAGTCCAGATGCAGAAAAGTCCTGCCTTCGGTTCTGTCACCAGTTAATCAGCTTGCAGGTCTAAAGCAGGTTCCAGCAGCAGATGGTCATCTCATGACCTCCAGGAGATTATGGCATCAGTGTCTCACAAAAACAGTCAGTGAGGCTGTTATTAAAGGGGATGGTAAATCTCTCTTTGCTTCCTCAAACTGAAGCAGAGATTTAAAAAGTGAAAAACAAAAGATTTTTTTTAAATTTTGCAACAAATGTTTTACACCTATCAAGCAGTCAGGAGGCCCTCTAAACAGCTATCCATGCTTATTAATGAGACAATAAAGGCAACTTAATCGTGAGAATGATCCTCATAATGAATCTGTTCATCTTTCTACAAGTATTCATATTCTCCCCAATGCAACACGGCCAACGAGTCTGTCAGGTGGTTGACTTTGCAGGCAACAAAGTATTGGAAAATCCTAATTCCCTGTACCGCTGGAGGACATTCACGCCTCAAATTTGCTAAAAATCGATGTTCCTCGAGGTCCCATTTCTGCAACTTTCTTCATCCTTTCAGTCTCGGCTCGTCTTATAAAATCCTTTCCTCTTAATCCAGCCGGCTCATTGTTCCTGCAGATGCTCTTCGGCAGTGGTTTCTGAGTCCGACTAGCGGCTCAGACACTCCCCGAACTCCAACCACTGCGCATGCGCCAGGCTCAGAAAATGAGCTCACTGGTGACAAGTGCTGCATTCAGGTGCTCTTCGTAAGAAATCCGCGAATTACATTTACAGGTGCATCTGTATTAAATAAAACCTCCAAAAGTTGATATACATCAAACCTTAACTCAAGACATGAAACTTAAATATTCCACTGATTCATTACAATCCAAGCCGTTATTTCAGCTAATTTTGATAAGAATGGATTACAGCTACTGAAAACCACAAAATTCAGCTTCTTATTGAAGTTAGAATGTTACATGGGACAAATGACAGGTATTTTCAGAGGTTAGGCTTGGCCATGTTTTGCTCTATATAATCATGAGGAAGTCTGCTGTCCAAAACATAATTGCTAAATACTCTGGCTTGCTTACACCATTGTATCCACATATATTAATGAAAGGTTGAGCAGAAGGAAAACATGTAATGAAAAAGTTGTGCAAAGAAAATAACTTTTTTCATTACATTCTGATTTACTGACATGAATCTGTATGTAGATCAGGGTTGTCTGAGAATTTTATATATATTTTTTTACATTTTCTTGGTAATATTTTAAATAAGAAAAGAAACAGCCGAGTTAATGATTTATTTATTCAGAAATGAAATTGCAACAAAATGTTTGAAGGTCACAAGAGATAATACAATTTGAAAAGCTGAAATATTACCAAACCCACTCCAGCTGTAAGTCAAATCTGAACACATCTGCATTTATACTACAACAGTTGGTAGGAATCCTTAATTTATTTACAAGACTAACTTCAGGGCAGAAATATCAAAACCTTGGAGCACCGTAGTCGTCAGGCATCCTTTCAATGTTATACCTGCAAACAGAAATAAAAAGTATTAACAAAAACATCTTTGTTTAAAACTAAAACATGCAAAGTTTTCAGATTCTGAGACAATTTTATATTTGTTACCTGTGATTTGAGATGTACATGATGGGCACTCCAGGTATCTTTCTGATTCTTCTCTTCAGATCTCTGTCCACAGTGGCCAGGATGTAACACTTGTGCTGCATGAAAAGTTGTATCAATCTCTATATTCACAAACATCACCACAATATGATGTATTTAACTGATTCAACACTGTATCACCTAAAATACTAGTATTTCTAATAGATTGTGTTTGTAAAATGTAACATTCAGCAGAAGCAACTGATGGGAGAATTAGCACTTCTATTACGTAGTAATAAAAACAGTTGTTTGCCAATAATTTGACCGTCTTGTTTCTTCTCCAACTGTGTCAACTGCCCTATTTGTTTGATTATTTTTTCTTCTGTGGTCCTTTAAAAGATTAAGGTCGAATCACATTTCACTTTCAGAATAATACCAACAAGGCAAAACTGCTCACATCTGTTCAACCTGTAATTTTACCCTCAAATATTTTTTTCACACAAAAAAACCCCTCTAATTTGAAATTTTTGTTTTACATCATTATGTATTTATTTTTCCTCTAATCAAAGCATAACCATAATCGATTCCAGTGCCAAAGACAGCCCACATATCCACAGATCAAAATGTTTTTATGTCATGCTTCCTAATAAATGGCTATGGGCTAATCATGAAGTTTATTATACTAATCAACGTTTTGTGCTTCTTAAGTGTTTAAATTTAGTTCACTTGCATTTATTTTAGCAGCTAAAAAGGCTGAAGTTAGACATTTGACCAATTTAGCTATTTTATGCCACTATATTCTTCTGAATGTTTACTGCTATGCATTTATTTTACCTGAGTGACCCTTTGCACCAAACAGTCATCAGCATATGTGCCCTTATGTGCGCATGGCAGACGCTCAAAACGTGGATCCTTAGCTATCCTGTCAAACAGAAAACATTGTTTAGATGGAAAAGAAGAACTACATGCATGTTGCAGAATGAAATAATTGCTGCAGATGATACCTGAGAGCCACTCTGTATTTCATCCCCAGCTTCTCAATCTCAGCCATCACACAGTCTGTGATATAGGGTATACCTGAAGCGAATCACATATCGGGGGGAAAATGATTTAATTTCACCTGTCATAACCATTCAATAACATTCTCTAACAGAGCATGCATTAAGTCTACATTTAGAATTCCAATACTTCTTACATTTGGCATACAGGCAGTCCATCATAGACTGAACAATGTCCAGCTTGGCTTTAATGGAAAAGTTGATGAAATTGGTATCAACAAGAATATGGTATGGTGGGCCAAGTTGGGTGTTGTACTGGAAGAACATGCATGATGGATACTTGGTGCTGCAATGAGAATGAAAAAGAAAAGGTCAAAAAGAGCACAGGTCACAGGTTAAGATACAGTTTATTGAGTTGAGTGGCAAACATACACTTCCCGCTCCTTAAGTTCTGAAGGATCTTTCTTCTTCTTGTCTTTCTGTTTAGCACGGTCCTTTTCTTTTCTATAAAGCAATGGCAAAGTTCAAATGAGCAAGTTTTTCTTTTTCCATGCTGAATCCAGTGGTCAAAGACTGAAACAGGAAATTTATCGGGAAGATATGCAACCAAATTAAACTGCACATTTTAGGACTTACATCCTATGATCTCTGAGATTAATCATCCTTTTCATTGCAGCAAATTTTTTTGTCTTCTGCTTCCCCTGAAAGAAACACACATAGATATCAGACCAAATAAAATAATTGATATCAAATGTTTAGAGCATCAGTTCCCAAATCACTAAGAACAAAACACGCTAATGACAGTTGTGAATTGAAGCATAATCAGTATATCAATTAAATTAACAGCAAAAGTATTGTTTTGCCAACAATTTTTTTTATTTGTTTTATCAATTGTGACATTTTCAGTACGTATATTTTATTATTATTATTTATTTTGTTTACTTAGATTTTTGAAGAGGATTTCAAGGCTCCACACTTTATGGCTCAATCTTAACTTTAGAAATGACTAATTTATAACATCCCTTTGATGTAAATAGTAGAAAAAAAAACAACAAAAAAAAACATTACCTGAGTTCAATTCTGCCTGAAAATTCTGGCTACATTTGAAAGCATAAAACAAACACTCAATAATCAGTCAATAAATTAGAGCATCATTTAGACATGATCACAGTTATTTATTGTGATATTTTTCTAATGTTTCCTTCAATACATTTAAATGTTTATGGCTTGCCGCAAATCAAAGCCATTTTTAAGAAATTTGGAATGCACAGGGCTGCACAGTGGCACAGTAAGTAGCACCTTTGCATTGCAGCAAGAAGGTCCTGGGTTCGACTCCCAGGCCAGGATCTTGCTGCATGGAGTTCGCATGTTCTCTCTGTGCAAGTGTGGGTTCTCTCATGCAGATACTCTGGCTTCCTCCCACAGTCTAAAAACATGACTGTCAGGTTAATTCATCTCTCTAAATTATCCTTAGGTGTGAGTGTGTGCGTGCATGGTTGTTTATCCTGTCTGTCTTTGTGTTGCCCTGAAACAGACTGGCACTTGCTGGAGATAGGCACCAGCACCCGTCCTGACCTCTCTAGGGACAAGGGTGTACAGAAAATGGATGGAATGCAACTTAAGACCAGAAAAACTAGTATTTTTTTAACAAAGAAATGTTAAAAAATGACAATAAAGCAAAAAAAAAAAAAAAAAAAAAGTAAGTTACATGTACTAAATATGTTTTTTTTCACAACCCTCTCAAGGCTGCAGCCACCCCATTACTTTTTCCTTCCACTCAACTTTCTAATTATAGGTTTGAACACTGCACTGAGTTAGCGTCCACCTTTACTAAAGATTATTGTGGTTTACTTTTCCTGTTAAGTGTGATAACTGCGTAGGTCAAGACCTAAGACTTGATCATTAACTTTATTTTTTTACTGGTTTGTGCTACATTCAATTTTTCTGAGAAATGTTGCCCTATATAATCAAAGTTATTCATCAGATTAACAGAAAGCGCCTGAAATATAACGCTGACTGTGCAATAAACATTCTTGTACGAGTTCAAATTACATTTTCAATAATATCCTAATTTATGAATTTAGATTAATCTTATGTTTATAAGGTAGGACTGTAATAATGGCTTATTTTAATGCTGGGCTAACTGTGCTAAAGCTAGTAGGATATATCTCAAAAGCATGTCTCCATAAAACGCTCTAACAACAAAAGCTGAAAAAGTGTAACAAACGAATTAAAAGTATGTCAATTTGAATGTTAATAGGTTAAGATGAAGTAGGAAGAAGTTGATATTATTTACCATATTTCTGAGTTTCAGGCTTTTCGTCTCTGGAATCAACTGCCTTTCCTCTCCTCGTGTGTCGATACTATGACGTCATAAGTAAGCGACCACTCTGTTCAAACGTTCCGGTTGCTATGCTAACGACTGATAGACGAAGGTAAATGCAGTGTTTATTAAGCAAGTAGTACTTGCAGATCTTATTGGCAAATGTACCTTGTTTCATCCCTGAAGTTGTATGTAGTTTTCTGTAAATATATTTGAATGTGCGGCTTGATCACTAGCTAGTATTGGCCCAGAGCTTTCTAAAAGGACGACTGGCTAATCTGGCTAGTTTTAGCGCTGTATTTTCTTTCTGAATGCTGCCGTCGTAGCTGTCAGACTCTGAGCGAGAATTGATGATGTTGCAGTGTAATTGTTTCTCGCCCTTATTGATTTCTGTTTGCCAGCCTACACGTTAAAATAGATTTTTTTAGCTGTCTGCCAGGATACCTTTAATAAATTAAGCTAGCTCAGGCATCTCTTCAGTTTGAGTGTTGTTTTCGAATAGGATTGTAAATACAATCAGATTGAGCTCGTTTTCCTGTGATTTTCCCCTCACCATTCAATTAATTAATTAATGCTTACAGTGATACTTAATTAACGTAGTGTTCCCATTCATTGACAAAATATATGTTATAACGATTAACAAGGTCAAAACAAAGCAGTATTTGTTCAGTCTTCCGGACATTTGATCATTTTGTCTACATTTTTCTCATTCCGTGGTAGGAGTTTGGACTTGTCCAGCGGTATGTGGTAGTTGTGAGAGCACGGAGGGATCTGAGTGAAAGGCTGAAAGATGGTCTGATGGACCGCCGCTTCTTCCTGACCCTTCTTCTCTGCTCTGTGTTGTGGATCTTGTTCTGGGAAGTACGGTGGAAGAAAAGAAAAGAAGGTCAGATTGAGGAATGGCTCCAAGTACATAGCCTTTCTCAATACAGTCACTTATTCGAAGGTACGTTTTTTTTTTTTTAAACAAAAAAAAAGTTGCATATACAGTTGTATATTGCAACTGTATATGAGTTGCAATATACAGAGTTTGTTCTCAGAAATTTCTGGGAAAATCTTTCTGACCTGAATTTTGTGCATGTCCATCGTTCTCAAAATGTTTATCAGTATTTGGGTTAACTGTGCTTTATAACAGAAAGTGTTAATATTAATTAGTTATTGAGAGTTGTCAGTCAAAAGAAATAATGTTGCCAATGTCCTGTTTGAAGGTTAACAATAATTACAGCTTCATTGTTTTAACAGTAAGAAATGTGGTGTAATTTATATCCCTGAACTTACATGGAAACCAGTAAAAATTACAAACGATATTGCCATCAGCCTTTCAAAAATGTTTATTTCATGATTGTTTTCATTTAATTCCATAAAAAACCGATATTCCCTACTGTAGACTACATTTCACCAACAGAGAATATTCTGAAAATGCTTACAGTGGTAATATTTAGCATTAGTACAGTTAGCCGAAACTCTAATTACAATTGACAAGATATTTACTGACACTGCTTTTGGAAAAAAAAAAAATCAGATTTGACATCAAATGCATCATCTTATTGGAGGATATGTGAGCAGAATGCAAGCATGGACATTTAAACACCAAAGAGCACCAAGTATGACATGTAGCAGAACTTTAAATTTTGCACCTCTGCAAGGATTGCTTTTTGAACATATTTTTTCAACACCTCATGCAGACAGAAGTTACAGTAATAGCTGCTAGTAGCTGCCTAAAATACTTAGTAGGTTAACATTTATGTGGTCGGTTGTGCTATTCAGAATGGTCTGTTTAGCTGGTCCAAAAACTCATCATCGTTATTGAACTGCCAGCATTGTATTTGAGGGTCTGATTACACTCAGCAAAGCAGTGAAAATAATAACAGAAGTGTTCATTGCTCTGCTTATGGTGTTAATATAGCAGATCCTTACAATTAAAACCTCATATATCCAAAAGGATATATATTGGATTCACAGTGTCAAGTTAAGAAGGTATAATTTTCAAGGAAACACCTTCTGTTTGTTTTTGTTACCAGAAAGTTGCAAATGCATATTTTAAAGAACAGACATCAGCAGAGACTTGAAACATTCTTATACTTTTGTACATTTCGATGTGATTTTTATGTGTCGCACAGATGTGCAGACATTGGAAGAACTGAGTCTGAGCGCGCTGAGTCGTCTGGAGGAGGTGGTGAAAGAGCAACAGCACTGGAGGGAAATTGCAGAAGCTCACATCAAGCTGCTTCGAGACTTTGCCTTCCAGGAGTGGCTTAGCTCACAGAACCTAGAGCACTACCACCACATGTAAGCAAAAAAGTTGTCACATAAATTCATGAACACCCTATTTAGGGATTAATACTTTAAATGTAATTAGTTTTTAATTCAGGTGCTCCATGTCTTTATGACTTACCTTGTTTTGGTTGTTAGATTAAGGTTTTCTCGATGCTAGAAAGGAATATGTTTAGATATTCACATAAATGTACTATGCACCACAAATCTGGAACAGACTTCCAGAAAACTGCAAAACTGCTCATCTTGATTTTCTCAGAGTTAAATTTAAGTCTTTATTCTGATTTAAATTTAACAGAAAATTTCAATAAAATGTTCTGTTCTCACATTCAAATTAGTTTGACAGAATATTATTGCAAAGCAAAATGTTAAGTACTGCAAAACCTAAGCATCATCCTGAGTGATACTGTGTTACCCTAAGTCCTTGCTCAGATTGGTGTTGACTCTGGATGATAATGTAGCTAAATAAGCTTCAAAATACTATGGCAAGTAATGCTGCACTGTTCAACACAATTTAAAAAGGGAACAATGATGCAATTCTAAAATTGCACATCATGGGGAAGGAAGTATAAACACTACATTCTTTGGTTTTTATTTCAAATGTCATCTTGACCATAAACTTTGAACTCATAAGTACACACGCAGCAGCTACTTTGACAGAAGGTTAGACTGACAATTAAAACTTGCAACATGAAATTACTGTTTAGCCATAAAAAGATAATTTTTTTCTCTCCTTGTCTAAAAAAATATTTAGAATGCATACACTGGACAAGCTGCTTCTTTGCTTTGTACCTTGTTTATTTGAAAACATTGGGGATGCAATCATGCTCAATTTCACATAAACTAGTTTTGCCTAAGGTACGCCCTCCTATGTGCAGTAACAGCAGGTGTGGCTTAATAGACAATAACGTACAGGAGCAGCAGCCACGGTGGAGTGGTTTGTGTAGAATGCTATTTTTAGTTATTGATCTGCACAAAATGCTTTCATTTTATATATTTATTTATTCTTTTCTCACATCAGATTGAAAACCTTGGGTTGTATGAATCTGGATGATCTGTCTCGATTCGACAGTCAGCTGCAGCTCTCTTTAGCTGCCTGGGGTTACTATTACGACGACTACATAAAGCTGTCCACAGGCATCAAGATTCTGCAGACCTCTAGAGGGAGTCGAGACCAGGACTACGAGATTCGGCTGGTGCGCAGCCTTGCTGAGAGGCGCCTGAATGAGAAGTGGTCAACTGGTGAGACGGATTATTTTTCTGCTTCTTTGAGCTGTGGTTGCTTTCCTTCAGCTTTTCATGTCAGGGTGTAAATAAGGGACAGGCTGTGTTTGAATATTTCTGTTGACAGAAAGTTCACTTGTTGAGTGAGACTCAGTAAGGCAGAACAAAAGTTTTCCATGAGGACACTGATGTATGTGTAGCCTCTGATAACTTTAGTGTTGAGTTGCTTGTATGCAGAGCACAGAATTTTGCGTTTTTTTCCCAGTAAACTTATTAGAACAACTTCCATGGTTGTTCTAATAAGTTGTTCAAAATTCTAATGTATTGCAACTAAATGATGTCATGCTCTTGATGTTTAGCTATTTCTATTGTTCCTCAACATTCCTTTCTTTAGGTGTGGTTTTCAGCATGCCGTAGCTTAAGACAAGTCATATGGAAGATCATGATGAAAAACAAAAGTATAACCATTAAAATTTAATTTGATGCTTCAGAAAAAAAATTTCTGTATAAATGTAATTATTGTATTCTTTTGTGTTCCTCAGCGGGAGCTCTCCTTTTTGGCTGTACTGTGGCACTGTGCTTTTTGATAAGGGACCTCATGTTTTACGTGATTGGTGAGTTGAGGATAAGTTGTCGGGTTGGGGAAAAAAGAAAACTAACATGCTGGTAAATGTGTTTGTGAAGCTTTAATATAAAATAATTCTGCCCAGTAATTCCTCCTTTCCTTTGGCAGGTGGAATTACTGTTTCCATCATAGCGTTTTTCTTTACCATCAAGTTCCTCTGTGAGCTCGCAGCTAGGATCGTTAGCTTCCTACAGAATGAGGATCCTGGAAGAAGAGGCGACCGCAGCATCTACGACTATGTCCGTGGCAACTACCTGGACCCTCGTTCCTGTAAGGTGTCGTGGGACTGGAAGGAACCACAGGAAGTAGGGCAGACGATGACATTTAGAGTTCAGGTAAAAAACAGATTTATAAAAGGTATTAAGACTAAAAACATACACAGTGCCTTCAGCATTTTGTCCTGTCACATCAGTGTTTGTTGTTGTTATAGTATTTTTTATGGTCTCTCTCTTTATTTTGAAGTTTTTACTCATTATTTGTAGACAAGCTTAAGCTTTGACAGGTGGCATGGGAAGCATGAGTGAATATCAGTCTTAAATCTCTTTGTTATAGTGCTGACAGTGTGGTTCACAGCCTTTTCTAGGCGAATCTCCACCCCAGTGACAAGCCTATCACAGATTCTTGCAGCTTTTCTTTCTGGATTGACCTGAGTTTAGCTCCACCTATCACTGAACCAACTCTGAGTAGTTTCTCTACTGCCACCACAATGTGTTACTGAGGTGTTAACTTCTCAGGGCAGTTTGCTCTATTTATTTTTACTTCCTGGTAATATAGTAAATGGGGCTGAATACGAATGTATGTGAAACCTTTCAGATTTTTATTTGTTACAAATTTTTTAAGTTGTGCATCCCTTTTCCTGTCTCTTCTTGATTATGCAAAGCCTTGCGTTGATCTGACAAATAAAGTCCACCAAAATGAATTGGATTTGTTGCTGAATTATTACAGACTGTGAAAAATTTAA